TACTATTGTGAAAGCAGCCTTATGTCAACTGGAAATTCGGTGTGAACGGTAGCTTCACGTACAAAGTGTATTTGATTGTGTTGTGTATTCGTAAATTACCAACACCATCCAGAGTACAAATAGGTAAAGAAGGCAAAGCAGTCAGCGCCATCTGTTGTGTAAAAAATGCGATGGACGTGCGAAGACGACGACGACCACGACGACGACGACGACGACGACGGAACTGAAATAAAATCATCTCGCTCGCCATTTCAATACGCCCTGATCTCGTACACTAATCGTATTGAACTTGGTGGCAATCGCTTCAGAACTTTCAATTCCTATAGGGAATGTATCAATAACTTTTCCTCATATATAGCGGTTCATAAGATATTTTGTTCCAAACACAGGTATAAGGAGTTGACTCGAGTAAAGAGTCTCGGCACGCTGCGCCCTGTACAGCCGGTTGCCTGTACTTGGCGCGAGACTCGACCGAGTCTCTTGATCTTCAGTTAATTAGGTGAACCAATTAGCATAGTTGATAATTAAAAAAAAAGAGATAAGACGTGAGTTTCGAACCGGAGACTCTCGGACGTTAACTCAGCACCAAGCACGTAAGTAGTTATAAGCCACTTCTGGTCATCACAACAAACGCCCACCACTATCCCGATGAGTCATGGAGCGCGCAGCGCTCTGACCCCGCGCGCTGCACTATGGCGTCACCCCCTCGCCAATGTGGTCGGCTCTCCCCACCGCTAACCTATGTTGTTGCTCCCCCACCACGCGGGCCTGGTCCTAAGGCCCGAAACTCAGTAGCAGCAGCGTTGCATCCCACCAGGGGCCGTATCACGGTCGGTAATTATGCATTGACCGCCGGTCGGTAACTTTTTTTTTAATTATCCTAAGGAGATTAGTGTATCGTGGTAAAATAGAACACCGTATTTTGTAAAACCCATTATGTATATTATAAAGCTGTAGTGCATGATACATTTTCGATTATTACCGTATTCTTGACGCGAATCTGCTTTAAGTCGTAAAAACTTATCCTGATTAATTGGTAAGGCCTGGTCCCCGATTCTGCCCGTTTCCCAAGCCGCATGACATTCTTCGAACAATGATGTAATCAGGGTTCAGATCGCCTCTGAAGAATGTTTTTATCTTGGCGAAGTGAAAATCCCTGCAGGTGTACGGCGGCGTCGAATAACAACGTACAGCGGAATACGCTTAATGCTTTATAAATTATTGAGAAGATATGGGGAGATGGAGGTGCAGGAAACAAAAAA